AAAACCCATTTCGAACTCATGCACAACTGAAAGGAAAAGAAAGCAATTAACGAAGGTGATTGCAACTATTTTATCTTGTAAACATCATGATAACACAAATAACCTTATTATATATGATAACACTATTATATAAACATTATAATTGTATAAAATAAATAAAATATAATTAAGTTCAAAGTTAAATGATCAAATTGTATAAATGAAACTTCAATATTATATTTAATGATGATGAATAGTGTAATAATATTCATTGATACTATATATAGTGTTAGGTATAATATAGGGTTTGAACATTATAATATAATTTAGAATTTAAAAGAAGTTTTTTCGTGTAAGGTTGTAGATGCTCTAAGGAATGTAAAACTCAATACGTTGCAAATGAAACAACGTTATTTTCCCTCAATCGCCTTTTGGTCTACGATTTCATTAATATAATCTGAATAATTCATAGTGGGCTACAATACAATGGACTGGGTTAAAATACAAATACAATACTTGGGCCTAAGGTAATATACATACATACATGCTACGCTAATACACCCCCGCAGTTTGAGCGGGAGGTTAAGCACGAACACTCAAAATGGATATGAACTCAGTAAACAGAGTAGATGGTAGACCTTTGGTGAAGATGTTAGCATATTGAAGGCTGGATGGTACATGAAGAACTCGAATAGATCCAGTAGCAACTTTGTCACGCACAAAATGAAGATCAATTTCTATGTGTTTGATGCGTTGATGTTGGACCAGATTACAATACATGTAGACTGCACTAATGTTATCACAATAGACAATAGTTGCTTTAGTAACTGGAGAGTGTAGCTCACGTAAAAGATTGCGTAGCCAACAAGTTTCGGCGACAACATTGGCAACACCTCGGTATTATGCTTCAGCACTAGAACGTGACACAGTCGGTTGCCGTTTTGATGACCATGATAAAAGATTGTCACCGAGAAACACACAATATCCACTGGTTGACCAACGAGTGGATGGACATCCTCCCAATCTGCATCAGAGTAGGCAATAAGACCGGTGGTTGAGGAGGGTCGAAGCTGTAGTCCATAGTCAAGAGTATCGCGAACATATCGGGGAATGCATTTTAAAGCTTTCATGTGCGGTTCTCGAGGGTCATGCATAAATAGACATATCTGTTGTACCGCATAGGATAAGTCTGGGCGGGTGAATGTAAGGTACTGTAAACCGCCAGCCAGACTTCAATATAAAGTAGGGTCTGAAACAGGATCACCAACGCAATTAAGTTTGGACTGCGTGTCAGCTAAAGTTCGGCAGGGATTGCAGTTGGACATGTTGGTGGATCAAGAAGCTCCTGCGCATACTTGCGTTGTGATAGGAATAAGCCATGATCATTGCATGTAGCTGCAACACCTAAAAAATAGGAAAGATCGCCCAGGTCCTTCATGGCAAATTCAGTGGCCAAGAGAGACATAGTCTGCTGAAGAAGTGTTGCAGAGGAAGTTGTGAGAATAATATCATCAACGTACAACAATAAATAAACAACTTGTGTTCCCCTGCGAAAGATAAATAAAGAAGAGTCGCAACGGCTGTGAGTAAATCCAATTTGAGTAATAAACGTTGCAAACCGTTGAAACCATGCCCGTGGGGCTTGTTTCAATCCGTAAATGGACTTCTGTAAAAGACAGACATAATCTGGATTATTTAAATCTCGGAACCCCGGAGGTTGATGCATGTAAACTGTCTCATTGAGATGGCCATGTAAGAAAGCGTTTTTTACATCTAACTGATGAATATGCCACTTGCGTGAAATTGCAAGACTAAGGACTGTGCGTATAGTAGCAGGTTTCACAACTGGGCTAAATGTCTCAGCACAATCAATGCCCGGTTGTTGGCTTTTTCCGTTTGCAACTAACCGAGCTTTATAACGCTCAAGAGAACCATCTGCTTTATATTTTTTTACGAAATAACCACATCGAGCGAACAACATTTGCCCCAGTAGGCCGCGGGACAAGAACCCACGTTTTGTTGGCAATAAGAGCATTAAACTCGTCCTTCATGGCAATGGTCTAATTTTGATCTTGAAGCGCTTGAAGGTGAGATCGAGGTAGGGGTGATTCGGTGGTAGTGTGAAGGTTGAGACGAGAAATAGGTTTTCGGATACCAAGACGACCTCTATTGACCATGGGATGATTTGGGAAAGGAGGGTTATTGGTGGTTTCAGGAGATGACTCGGGAGATTCATACGGAGAAGAAACGGAGGGTGGTGTGGGGGAAGCACCACCGGTAGAGTCGTGAGGAGTGGTGGTGGGTTGAGAGTGTTGAGAGGTGAGAAACTCACGAGAAATGAAGGATGGTTCATTGTGGTCGAGAAATGAGTAGGAGGGGGGGGTGATTTGGTGCCATGGAGCGAAAAGGAAAAGTGGATGGTGTGAGATTTAGGAGATGAACTGTCATGTGAAGAGCTTCAACCCAAAAATCAAGTGTGAGGTGGGCGTGAAGAAGAAGAGTTCATATGATATTGTTGATTGTACGTATCATACGTTCGGACTTCCCATTTTGTTGGGAAGTTCGAGGGCACGAGAAATGGAATGTGATGCCATTTTCATTGAATAAATTATGAAAAAGATGATTGTCAAATTCACCCCCATGATCACATTGGAAACTTTTAATGTCCGTTTTGAACTGGTTTTTGACAAACGCACGAAAGTGTAAGAATTTTGAGAAAACTTCTGATTTCTTTCTGAGAGGATATACCGAGACAAAGTGGGAAAAGTGATCAAGAAATAGAATATAATAATTTATACACTGATACTTTCAATAGGAGATTGCCATAAATCAGAATGAACAATATCAAATAAGCCAGAAACAATAGTGTTTGTACTTTCAAAAGGTAAACGGATAGATTTGCCAAGCTGACAAGCTTGGCAAGAAACAGTACTAGAACTTCTATTACATGTAATTAATTTATTGGAAACTAAATGATTAAAAGCATGAGCTCCGGGGTGACCGAGACGTTGATGCCACAAGGAAGTAGAACCGGAAAGAAGAGCAACTTGTGTAGAAGGAATGACTGGGTAGAGGTCACCGGAGTTGTCACACCTAAGCAGAAGCTGACTAGTTTTGAGGTCCTTCACAGAAAAACCACACAGATCAAATTCAATAGAAACAAGATTATCAGTTGTAAAACGACGAACATATATGAGGTTTTTGATAATATTAGGTGTGACTAATACATTACGAAGGTGCAAGGGACGATGCAAGGATTTTAATTGGGTATGGCCAGATTGATGAACAGGTATGGAAGAACCATTGCCAACAAGAACGTGATTTATATGACAGTTTTTGGCAAAAGTAGTGAGTTTACCTGTGTCCGAGGCAAGATGAGTGGTAGCTCCTGTGTCCATGTACCACTGAGTATCCAAGCCATCATTTATGTGCATCGAGTTCAAGGCTTGTGTGATATCTGTAGGCTCATCCGGGGTCAGCGGGGGAAACCATTGAGCTGGAGGAACAAGATTCTGATGTGGAGGGGCAGCAAAGAAGGCTGCTGCAGGGGGCTGTTGAGTTGGTAGACCCGAGTTTGGAGCAGTACTAAGGACTCTGAGCTGCTGGTTTCTCATCGGTTGGTAAGTAGTGGAAGTCGGTGGTCGAGTGAGCTGTTTCCAGGAAGGATATGACCAGGTGTAGGGATTCCACGGGACCGGGTATGGAGGCCATGGAAAACCCGATGACAGCGATGATATTGTGGTGGTGGTTCCAGATGGGCGGCGATTATCAGTTGAGTGGGAGCCACCGCGACGTGGCTGTGAAGAGCGACGACCGCCTCAGTTGTTTTGAGAGAAGGCCCTGTTGCGTGAGTTTGAGGGGCTGGGGTTTCCAGCATGAAGAGCTTGAGGTGACGATGCATGATCCATATGGAGAGGTTGGGTAGGTCGATTTCGACTCATGGTTCGCTCCTCCAAGGTAAGAATCGACCTGCATTTTAGAAGAGATGGAAGCGGGTCTTGATGGCGCAAGACAGTGGCAATGTTGTCAAACTTTGGTGACAATCCATTAATGAGATATGTAACCAATGTTTGTTCAGACACCGGTGATCCTATGTTTGCGAGTAAATCTGAAATCACCTTCATTCTTTCATAATAATCAGAGATGGAGAGATCACCTAGAGTTAGGGTTTGAAGTTCCTGATCAAGCTCAATTGCCCTAGTTTGTTTGTTGTCTCTGAAAAGAGTTTCCAGATCAGTCCATACGGTATGAGCAGTAGCACCTGGTTTGAGGATCATGTTGAGAAGACTTTGAGTTACAGTTCCATAGATCCACATCTTGACGAGATCATCAAGATTGGACCAAGCTACATCGTTGGCATCTGCGGGTTTAGAAGTGCCTGTGAGATGACCTTTAACTCCAAAACTGTTGCAGTGGGTCTGGAAGAGTTCTTTCCAAGCATCATAATTCAGCTTGTGAAGATCTAGAATCAGAGGAATGTAGACTTTAATGTTGGTTACACCAAAAGGTTTGGTGTTCTTGGATGATTCAGACATTCTTGAGGCAGATTAGAGAGGAGCGATTGAAAGAGGGGAGAAGCAGAGCACAGAATTGCCGAAAGCAAGAAAAAGGCGGCGATAGGTTTTGAGAAAAAACCGGGAGGCGCTCTGATACCATGAAACAACGTTTTTTTCCCTCAATCGCCTTTTGGTCTATGATTTCATTAATATAATCTGAATAATTCATAGTGGGCTACAATACAATGGACTAGGTTGAAATACAAATACAATACTTGGGCATAAGGTAATATACATACATACATGCTACGCTAATAGCAAACACATTAAAGAGTGATAATAAAACAAAGTTCACAAATTACACATTAAAAGGAAATTTCGTGAATGTTTCTTTCTTTACCAAAAAAGAAAAAAAAAATCGAAACCAGTGATTATAATATTCCATTTAGATATTTTAGCGATTAGCCATTATTAACCTAAACCACACCATTTACCCCATTATCAAATTGCCATCCAACGTCATTCGTCAATTGCAATTTTGGGTCCAAATTACTCCGAAATCCCAATTCCTCAAAAGTCATCACTTCACACGCCTTTCACTTTCCTCACAAAATAGTAACAAACAACTGCAAGTCAAGCATTCCATTCATTATTAGTCGTGAGTCGTCGCTTGAAGCTTCATATCAACATGGCCTTTTCCTCTTTGACCCGATTAGCTCCAATTTTCTCCTACACCCATTGAATCATTCCGCTCTTATCATCAATACATGTTGAAGAAAGCTCCTCCTACTCAAGATCTTGAATTCTACTGTGTAAACTTTTCATCTTTGCCATTTGTTTCGTTTTAGTTGCTCTAATTATTGAATTTGTGCTAAGTTTGATGGAATTCATATGGATTTTCATTTTGTTGTTGGATGATGTTGTTTTGCTTTCCGGGTTTGTCGCTAATTTTGTGGGAATATAGTGATCTTGTCGTTTTGATTTGTGTGTTCTTTGATTAGGGTTTATGATATCTCAATTGGGCGAGTATATTGTTTTATTGTTATTGTAATTCAAGTATCGAGAAAGGGCACTGCTCCTTTCACGATTTTGAGGTTTAGGCGATGAAGATCGATAATATTTGTTCTTTTTTGCTATCTGTTGTTTTGGAGTGATCGACTTTTCAAAAACTCGTAGTTGACTTTAATCTCACTTTACATGACTGAACGACTTTAGAAGAAATCGTGAAGCAAAACTTTTAGGTTAGCATTTACATTTGTACGATTTGTCCCAAATTGGTTATTCTTGTAAACCATCTTGTAATTTAGGTTTTTTGCAAAAACACCTTTCAAATAAACACAATCTAAAGAAAACACACATATATAGCTTTTACCTGATTAGGCGCTGAAAGTCAAAAAGAAACAACACCATAGACAACATCTGAACATATCTTGTTTGTTTTGCTATCTTTCTTTCCAGGTTTGTTTCTTGGGAACCGAGGTTTCCGATTCCTAAACCCGCTGGTTTCTTTTACAATGACAATGGAATGGAATCGTGTAACAGTAATCAGTGTGTGTCTCTACATTCTTATATCCATCACCTGCAGCAATGCGGTTGAAAGTGACATCAATTGCTTAAAATCTGTTAAAGCATCACTCAGAGATCCCGAAAACCTGTTATCATCATGGGATTTCAATAACAGCACTGAAGGATTCATTTGCAGATTCACAGGGATAGAATGTTGGCATCCTGATGAAAGCAAAGTCTTAAATATCCACCTTTCTGACATGGGGTTGATTGGTGGGTTCCCAGTTGGACTCAAGAACTGTACCTCAATGACCGGATTAGACCTCTCCAACAACCGCCTAAACGGGCCCCTCCCCACCAACATGACAGATGTCGTTCATTTTCTCACAACTCTCGATTTATCATCCAACAATTTATCGGGAGAAATCCCGGTCAGCATTTCAAACATTTCATTTCTTAATGTCCTGAAACTCGATAACAACCGGTTCACGGGTCGGATCCCGTATGAATTGGGCGGGCTCAATCGGATTAAGGAGTTCAATGTTGCAAACAATCTTTTGTCGGGCCCGGTCCCTAATTTTGGTGAGAATATTAAAGCCGACAGCTATGCCGGAAATCTTGATTTATGCGGGGGGCCTTTGCAGCGGTGTGAAGGAGAGCCGAGCAAAACGAGCACCGGTGTGATCATCGGAGCGGCGGTTGGCGGTGTCACACTGGCGGCGGTGTTGGTGGTTGTCAGTACGATGTTCATTAAGCGTAAGGTCATTAGAAGGAAAGAAGAAGATCCAGATGGGAATAAATGGGCAAGAAGTATCAAAGGAACAAAAACTATTAAGGTAAGATATTTGAATTTGAATCATATCACCTTCTATGCTAATCTTTTTGTGTGATTTTTCATTTTTGATTTTCGGATTTACTAATTTTTTTAAAAAAATTATAGCTTTCGATGTTTGAAAACCCGGTGTCGAAGATGAGACTGAGCGATCTCATGAAGGCAACAAACAGTTTTAGTAAAGACAACATAATCGGATCGGGAAGAACGGGTTCTTTATACAAAGCAACACTCGAAGATGGAAGCTCATTAATGATCAAAAGATTACAAGACACGCAACATTCCGAGAAAGAATTCGCGTCAGAAATGGCGACAATTGGAAACCTTAAACACCGTAACCTCGTACCGCTTCTCGGGTTTTGTGTCGCGAAACAAGAACGGTTTTTAGTCTACAAATACATGGCAAACGGGAATCTACACGATAAGTTACATCTTGTTGGGGATGATGAGAAACGTATGGAATGGCCGTTACGGTTAAAAATTGCAATCGGAGCCGCCAAAGGGTTCGCGTGGCTCCACCATAACTGCAACCCGCGTATCCTTCACCGGAACATAAGTTCAAAATGTATCTTATTAGACGGTGAATTTGAGGCAAGAATTTCCGATTTTGGGTTGGCCAGACTGATGAACCCGGTGGATACCCACCTGAGTACTTTTGTGAATGGAGAGTTTGGGGATATCGGGTACGTTGCACCCGAATACGCCCGAACTCTCGTGGCCACCCCGAAGGGTGATGTGTACAGCTTCGGGGTGGTGCTTCTTGAGTTGGTAACGGGTGAAAGACCGACACGTGTGTCTAAAGCTCCGGAAAGCTTTAAAGGAAGTTTAGTGGAATGGATTTCCGAATTATCGGCGGAATCGAAACTTCATGATTCCATTGATGTGTCGTTGGCCGGAAAGGGAATTGATAACGAGGTTTTTCAGGTTCTTAAGGTTGCGTGTAATTGTGTGTTGCCTGCGGTTCATAAGGAGCGGCCTTCGATGTTTGAAGTGTATCAACTTTTACGGGCGATTGGTGAACATTACCATTTCACTGCGGATGATGAGATTTTGATGCCGACCGATGATGCCAATGCCGGTGATATCGAACTCATTGTTTCTCGGGATATGAGAGGAATGAAATGACCAAATGAGGTCGTGTAAGGTATATGTAATTAATGTTCTTCGTGCTTGAATAAATGTTATACACATATAATATATATATATATATATATATATATATATATATATATATATATATATATATATATATATATATATCGGTTCGAGGACTATAGGGTTTTGATTTTATGTATGTAACGAAACACTTAGAGAAATATTAATTTGTATTTGTTGCGATAGGTATGGTATCAGGACTACAACGACCCAGTCAAACAAAGGGGAACAATGTGTTCCCCTTTGGTAGGGTCCGAGTACTCCTGAAAGATTTTGTCATAATAGGTTGAGCAAAATTCTCATATGCGCGTATATCAGGCATTAATGATAATGGTAGTGGCATTAATGGGAATGGTAGGGGAGACAAAAAAAGAAAAAGCCGCAAGTAAATTCATCAAATCTCTGATAGAGCTGTAATAATTAAACCATTGAGTTTTAATACATAGTATCGTGTCGAACCATATAGTGATTAAAACCACTCATGAACAGTTATGTTGAAATAGAAAGTTTCGTATAGAGCTGCAATAATTGAATTGTTCGTAGTATAAATCATTGATTTTGTACTTTTGTATTAAACCACTCAAATCGACTTAAGTTTAACTCAACTTCAAAGTTTCGTATGTTATTTCATGAAATAACTGACATTTTACTATTTTTGTTAATATAGACAATGTATTTTATTGTTTTGTTCTTAATAGCAATCTACTTTCATTCCCTTGCCCAAGATTGCAATGTACTTCATTTTTTTTACCAATAACTAAATCACTGTCAATGGGCTGGGGACCAAAATTGTTTGCTTTGTAACTTTTGCAATTCAAGGCCAAGGTAGGTCTAGTGTACTCTGATGCCTTTCTACGATCTTAAGGATGAATTAGAAACAATAAAATTTCAAGTTAGATAATAAGAACTTAATTAGTGACTTAACGAACATTTATGGGATAATTAACCAAACTATTGTAAACTTTATGTGACCACTAAATATTCTAACAACCTTAGAAGTGAAATGAGTTTGTTCAACCACTTAAGGTGACTTTATACCAAGTGTAAATGTCCCTAAAACTAATTTAATAATTTTTATTCATTGACTTCATATGTGTAATATCAGTACTCTAAATATTTTGTGCATTCCATGAAATCCATTTTAAAAGAGATCTATTTCATTTGGAAAACTTTTGATTTGAATTGAAAGTATTTGAACATCCTACTTGTATATTTACATATGAAGTGTTGACTTGTGTGGCCACTTCGATGTGGCATCCCTAAATGTAACGTCCCATTTTCACAAATAAATTTTCCATTTTTTATTTAAGGTAAAATATAATTTTCATAAAACCTAAGTTAAGAAAACTCATTTGTTCAAATACAATTGATTGAAAAACAGAATATTATAATATAAATGCGAGAATCCAATGTTGTTGATGAGTGTATACAATCACGCATTTGCCTTCCCACAATCACCAATGGTACCTGAAAAATATTTAATCCACAACTGTAAGCCAAAGCTTAGTAAGTTTCCCCAAAATACCACACACCACAATATACATACAATGCATACACACATGAGCTTTCAGTCTGACTAGACCGCCTCACAAGACCTATAGAACACCTGGACTGCTCTCCTTGGCCTCTAATCCAAGATTGGCCCGCCACCCACAACATACAATTGATCCACACCTGGCGTACAACACACCGCTGGCCCGCGCGAGTATCTTGGCCTATTGTACACAACACGACTGCCTCAACCCACCACCTGATATGTCGACATATAATTTCAAACAAGCAATCAAACAAAACATAAAATAGGCAACTATCTGATGAGTTTTGATACAAAATATAAGTTAGTTTTTCATAAAAACCGGTTAACGGAAGCGTTAAAAAATAACAAGTTTATTTTTAAGTTTATAACAAAACCAAACCATCTAGGATCCATTTATAGACGTTAGAATGATATTAAAACAACCAAATAGTGTTTTAGAATGACAACCTTTGAAGCCTTTGAACCCACTTGGTTTTGGGGTGTTGATGAAGATAGAAAAATCAAAGAGTATGATTTTCCCTACAAATATCCACCATTAAGATTAAGGCACTTGGAATGCTAGTTTCTTCTTGTATTCTTGAGTGTCTTAAACCTTTAAGTATTTAACTCAAATAAGCACTAAAGGAGACAACTGAAGAGAGCTTCTAATTCACCAAACTAGCTTCTAAAGAGAGAAAGGCGTAGGAAGAGAAGAATTTTCGTCCATAGTAGAGAAAGAGTGAAAAACTAGTCAAAAACTCATGCAAAAGCCTTCCTTTTATAATCTCATGCAATGGTTTGCTGCAATATTCATGGGTACTTTTTGAAATAGGGATTTAAGTATTGGATTAAACGCACGCTCAGTAAATTACTTCATGGAATTTATCACGAGTAATTCTGAGACGATAATATCGTATAATCTTTAAACCAAGATATATGAGTTGTTGTTTACGAGTTGGTTGTGCATTGATAATGCGTAAACGCATCAGTAACTTGGTGTTATAAAATGTATTGTTGTGCATGATTTGATGAGTAAATAGTGCAAGCATATGAGTCAAAGTTTATCTGTTCCTTTTTCCCTAAGGGGGAGAAGCGATATCTTGGGCCCCTCGATGATTTGGTGTTGACTTATGTGCCGGGTCCGGTCAGGACTGAATTGATGTGTTCAATTAAGTTATTCGTCATTACAAATCAGAAATCGGGAAACAAACTGTTGGACAATGAGAATGATTATGTTCCGTGTCATTTGTCCACATGATATCTTGTAGAACAGAGGATTATATGATCCCTTATCTTAGGACACGTTGCTGACTAGGTCAGAGTTCGACAGCGGCTTTGAGAGCTACAATTTATTGGTCAAATTTAAAGTCATACTTGCAACTATAGTTATTAGACTTATCCAAGTGGGAGACTATTGGATTAGGTGTCTAAGACCATAACTATATTTGGTATGTACTTGAATTGATAGCAACACAGTCCTTTTTGGGTTGCCTTCACACTGGCAACTAGACAGGATGATTAATTGAGGAAAAGGAATAATTTATTAATTTGATTAATAAATTGAAATAAATGATTTATTAATATATTATGGAAATTATATATTAATTAGAAATCATATTATTGATTAATATTTAACCAGAAATTAATTTGAAATTAATTTTGGGATTAAAGGAATTAATTAATAGTACACGGGCTGTTTTGCAATTAATTAATAATTGTGGATTGGGCTCTTGGATTCCCTTGGAAAGGCTTGGCCGAAAATCCTAGGAAGGATCTAGAGATTGCGTCCAAGGCCTTAAGGATAAGGAATCCATGAGCTGCTTAGGCCTTAAGCTAAGGGATTAGGGTTTCCTTATCTTAACCTTAGCTTTGGCTCTAAGCAATCTCAACTATAAATAGAGGCTTACCCCTAAGCAATTTCAGCCATCCCTTAGAAATATTGAAGAGCCGAAATTTTGAGCATTTACCTCCTCTCTCCTCTCTCTCATAATCATCCTTTTGCCTACGTGTGTTTGTGAGCAATTAGAGGTATTACACTTGTGGTACTTGTTCTCAAAGTCAAGATCTTCAAAGGAATTATTGTTATTACTACATAGCAATAAAGGTATGTATCTAAACCCTAGTTTTTTGTTAATTTCGAAAATTGTACATGCCTCCTAGGGTTTCTAGTTTTTGTGTTCAATGCTTGTATGTCTAATAGTGAAAACATAGATCTTTCAATTAGAGTTGCATCCACACATAGGATTGTTTGCCATGTATAAAACCCATCATAATCATATTAATAATAAATATACAAAATGTGCCAAATTGATAAATGTGTGACCCTATAGGATCATATATTATTAGCAATATCACTCAATAATGATTCTTGGGCATATAGATTCAACACTATCTATACTGGTCTACATGTTTACCACCTTCTACCACATACATGGTCTCATACAATATGCTACGCCACGACTGGCAGATCACTAATGAATGCATGGCTATATGTAATCAGACGTGAGATAGACAGTCGAACATGTGATCCCACTTTAGAGCCACAACCAAACAAGGAACATGCAAGAAAGCTTAGATCAAGAGTTCTTAGGCTATCCTACATGACTGCATGCAAACCCTAGGGCACTCAACTAGACGATCACCGACCTCTTGGTACTGTAACTAGCATACCACTACTCTTATATCCTATTATACAAGGATATACACTATAACACATAGTATAGTCAGGAAACTCATCTGAATCGAAGACCCAAGGAAGCACAACAACACCCTCACTCCCTGAAACGATCACTTCTGCGAGCCAGCTAGTACCAAACAAAGATAAGTCCTTAAGCAATAACCCAAGCCCTTCAAGTTTGACCCAAATTCAAACTAGTCAAAAGTTAATGGTCAAAAAAAGTCAACGGTCAACCAAGTCAATGCTCACCACGACGTGGAGACCTCTTGGCCATGTCGTGGGTATGTCAGGACAAAACAGTCGACATGCAGGACACACCACGTCGTGGCAAGTCCTTGGTCACGTCGTGGTTCCTGGAAGAAAGCCATATTTTTCATTAAGTTCTTAATCCTTACAGATCTAAACCCATAACTTCAGATCTGGTCCTTTTCAATGACTTAATGGATAAAGGTTCCAACTTTATCCATTAGGAATCCATCACAAGGAAAGATCTACAACCCTAAGTCCATTAAGTCCTTAATGTGGCCAAAACTTGAGCATGGATATGAGATGACTCCAAACATGGCTCTTTTCTCAATCATTAAAAGCTTAGAGACCGTTAGAGAACCATAACAAGCTATGAATTTCCTCAAACTCCAAGAGCATCCATATAAGGGACCAAAACCACCCAAAAATGATCCCAAACTTGAATCTAGAAGAAGGAATGTCAAGGTATGAACTTTATACCTCAAATAACTCAGAAATATGAAGGAGATGTTGGATCCAAACTTGTTCCTTGCTTCCTTGCACCAAAATGGACTCCCTTCTTCCTCAAGATTCATTAAGGTCTAAGGAACAACCCCAAAATCAAGTAGACAGGCTTTCCTTCATGCATGGAGGCTAGGGTTTCATATTGAAGGGTTGGAGGCTGAAGAGGATGCCCTAATCCTTGAGTTTAAGCCCTTAAATATGGAGAAAACCCTAAAAATCACGGGCTTGAGCTGCATCGCTCACCACGTCGTGACACCTCACTTGCCACGTTGTAGCGACCATCAAATGCATGTTCTTCATTAACCATGCATCACGTCGTGACCATCACTCTACCACGTCATGGTGCACTTGGGCCAACAATCCCAAAATTCGAATTAAGCCCAATGCGTCTAAAAGCCCAAAGTCCTGGCACCAAGCCCAAGAACCTTATTCCTCAAGGTCCAAACTTGATCATATGAGACTCGTGACCTTCGCCATGTCAATTACCACTCGATCCTCCAAGTCAAGGTTATCTCGAAACATGATGTTACACTAAACTTGTTAGAATATCCGATTATAAGGTTGTATGAGTGACATTCTAGACTGCTCTCATGTGCATGTGTGGACCAACCATTATTGGAAGATTTAGACTTTAGATTGACTTAGGATTGGGAGTAGTTGCATGTTAATTGCATATTTTCTTTTGTTAAATCATTATTACATGCTATTGTGAGTTTGTACAGTTTGAAGTATTTTTGACAAACTTTTATCCTAATGATCGTTTGAAACATTAAAAATGATATTTATGGGTTTAACTTTGGGATTAGATAACAACAACTATCCATTTTCCTTAAAATATTGACTACAAGTATACTCATTTAAGTTTTCTAAGCCTAACACTTGTATTTTGACATGTACTCAGATTGGTACATAGTTGAAAATTGGAGATAAAAAAAAGATTAGACATTTAGAAGATATTGGATATGTAATGTATACACTTAACTTTTATTTTGAGATTATATGTTACTTCCCCTCATTTCCAACACATATTTTTATTTGGACACTGGGACCTATTTTTTTGGCATTTTAAAACTTTTGAAATAGCCAACGCGAGGGGTGTTTCACAAACACACTTTCACTCGAGTTGCTATCAAATCAAGAAGTAGATACTCTTTCCTAGATCTTTAGAGATCTTGTTATCTCCGTTGTCATCTGTAAGTTTTAGGCCACTTATTTTTGGTTTGATGGCAACTTTTTAGTAACTTCATGAGTTGTTTTTTTGGCCTTTCCATCATCTTCTAAATGCATACCAAATCATAGGTAAGAACCAACATGCAAGTCATTAAGACATATATTCATTTACTTGCCAGGTTGACATTTAGGACCACATGGTATGGGTTATTGCCCCACAACTCCCTTTTGGTCGCTATCTTCTTTGTATAATGGCAACTAGTGGTTTAAATGTTGTGTTTCAAAACATCAAGTCGAAGAGAAGCTCCATTTTTTATAACATTGATTTACATTCGTTTGATTGGTTTTCTCATAGATGCAGTAGTAGTACCATATCTTGGACGCTGTGGTTACAAAACCCAATGCTCCATAGCTCTTTGTAATTGTTATTCCCTAGCTCCTTGATAGGTTGATTTTGTTTTATAATTCAGTGGTTAAAAAAAATACAAAATGCACATTTTATTCCAATATTATATGTATAGTTTGGAATACGGATGGAAAAAACCAGAATTTAAAAAAGTTGAACTTGTTTTCTTTTATCAAAAATGGGGTTGAGTTTGAATTTTCAGAAATTATCAGAAAAATCAATTTTTAAATATGTTTTGTCAGAAAGAAAAACATTTCCACAACCTATAAAAAAATTGAAAATGACTTTTCTTGAAGACAAAGAGAATTTTGTTTTTTTTGTGAAGATAATGGTTATTTTGTAGTATCTATTTATAAAAAAAATGATCATTTTGATGAGTATCTCTATATTTATCTTCTCTAAATGTAGAGATTTTTTAAGACCAAAATAATGATATTTTGAAAGAGGATAATGGTTCAAACAGAAACCACAGAAATGTTACATAGTACAACACAAGTAAACTGTAAATAATATGTTTGTACATTTTATACAGTATACAAATACAAATAAATAAAAGAATATGTTGACCATTCATTTTTACGATTAGTTACACTTATATAAAATAAACAATATTAAAAAGCTGATTTTTAAGAGTAATAAAACCGACGTCCAAGCACCCAAAAATGAAGATGGTAGTTGGGGGACATTTACGGTAATGTGAAAATAATGCAAAAATGAAGATGGTGTTGTTGGGGAACCTTTATCGTGATATGCTCGATGTTGTATGCCCTTAAAATTCACGTCCCAATTTTCTCTAAATGGGTATGGAGTTTGTGAACGATGATCAAACCATAACATACGCAGAATCACTCACGATTCTTCGCTAATCGATCCCCAATTCTTGATCAATTTAGTTAACCCCATTCCCCTGATCGTTTTCCTACAGAAAACCCGTTAAATTTGCGTAAAATTAACTAGCTTTTTCTTCGATTTATCCAAAACCCACATATCGAGAACCCTTGTTGAAATCAAATGGAATTCAACACCATTAAAATCAATTCAACCTTCACTTCACCATTTGAGAGCTCTCCTAGAGCAGATGATGACAACTCACCATTCAGAAAACCACTTAGTTTATGGCCAGGTATGTACCATTCTCCTGTCACAGCTGCTTTGTGGGAAACCAGGACAAAAATCTTTGAGAGACTTCTTGATCCACCAAAAGACGCTCCTCCACAAAGTGAATTGCTCACAAAAACCCCAGCTCAAAGCAGGACAACAATTCTCTACAATTTTTCAACTGATTACATATTGAGAGAACAGTATAGGGATCCTTGGAATGAGGTCAGAATTGGGAAATTGCTTGAAGATCTTGATGCACTAGCTGGCACAATTTCCGTCAAGGTACCAATTTTGATGCTTTCTTTTTCTCCAATTTATGCTCAAATTTTGTGTTTCTGTATGGGGTTTTGTTTGTGAATTTAGGGAGCGTTTTCAAATTGAAATTGAATGTAGAATTATGGATTTCGAAGCCAAAAAGGTGCAATCACTGTAGCATCCCATCCCACATTTCATGTATTTTTCCCTGTGAAATAGGATTGTTAGCAATTCCTCGGTTATGGTTCAATAATAACTTTTCCCTTTGCGCATGAAATTACAATCACCATCATAATTTGCTCAAATTTTGTCAAACTAATAGGTTTTTGTATATGAATTAACTGTATCAGGGGTATGACTCAACCTTTATGCTCACTACTTATCAATCCCCACATTGATGAAGTAGGTTCAATATTTTTTATGTTATTTTGGCATTATTAGAGGGTATTTAAATAATGATTCCAGTCAAAGTTTGCAACTTTCTTTTGGTAAACATTGTGGTATTGGCACTGTAGCTATCATTTGGAAGAGAGGGAGTATATGTTTAGCTTCAACTTTATGTGTAAAGGCCCTGTTTCTTTCTCTTTTCCCATCAACTGTTTTTTTCTGGATAGTCAAAATATTTAAAAGTATTTGGGAAAGGGAAAAAAATAAACGAGGACAAATTTGTAAAAGGTTATACTTAATGGGAAATCTCTGACTTTCTTTATTAAGTCGTTATTTTTACATTAAGTCAAAAAGAAACACCAATATATAGCTTGTTCGATTAAGGGATCGTTTTTTTTTTCTTCCCCCACTTAAGTCCTGTATGTGTATAGTGGCTGAATGGCTAATGATGTCTGTACGGATAAAGTGCTTCATACATAACTCATAACTCATAAGGTCTGTTTCTTTTCTCCCTTCTGGACTGAATAAGTCAATAAACCACTTGATTGAAACTAAATGACCATTTTACCCTTACATTCCAGCAAACAATTTTAACAATTTGTTCATATAATTAAGTTTCTTTCTGTAACTCATACATTCTTGATGCTAATCTAGCACTGCTCAGATGAAGATAGCATGACAAGGCCCTTATTACTGGTTACTGCATCTGTTGACAAAATGGTTCTCAAGAAAACAATTAGTGTTGATGGTGATCTAAAAATGGGTGGTTCTGTTGTATGGGTGGGGCGTTCTTCCATTGAAGTTCAACTTGAAGTCACTCAGCTATCAATCGGTATAACAATATGATTAATATCTTTAAACTAGTGTTTAATTTCAATACTTTTTGATTTTTTTAACTGAAAAGTGAAAACTATATATTGGTTTTGTAGATAGCACTGTAATTACAGAAACAGTAGCTCTATCAGCCAATTTCATATTTGTAGCCCGTGATTCCAAAACCGGGAAAGCAGCCCCTGTGAATCGACTCTCTCCCCAAACAGAAACCGAAAAATCGCTTTACAAAGAAGCAGATGCAAGAAACGTAATGAGAAAATTGAAAAAAGGAGAAAAAAAAGGGATTGAAAATGGAGAACAAAATCGACTTGATTCGTTATTGGCTGAAGGTCGTATCTTTTGCGACATGCCTGCATTGGCAAATAGAGACGCGATTCTTCTTAGAGACACGCGCCTTGAAAACTCATTGATGTGTCAGCCTCAACAAAGAAACATTCACGGAAGAATCTTTGGAGGGTTTTTGATGCATCGAGCTTTTGAGTTGGCTTTTTCAACTGCTTACACTTTTGCAGGATTGATGCCCTATTTTCTTGAAGTTGACCATGTTGACTTTCTTAGGCCTGTGAGTAAATAAAATCATAATAAAAGCGTGAATCGATAAGTCAGGTTTCAGGTTCAAGTTTTCTGGGTGTGGGACCGGTTGGTGGGGGGCACCCCGTGCCCACGTGGCATTTAACATTTTAAATTTTTTTTTTTTTTTGGTAGGTGGATGTTGGTGATTTCCTACGTTTCAAGTCGTGTGTCCTATATACGGAATTTGAACACGCGGAGAAGCCTTTGATTAATGTTGAAGTTGTCGCACACGTTACGAGGCCCGAGCTGAGGTCTAGTGAGGTCGGTATTTTTTTTGTTTGGATAAATGATATTAAAAACGTATTAAGTGCTTAACCGATTAAGCTCATTAAGTAAAAAACAAAGACTCATATATATAGTTGTTTCTGTGTAGGTTTCGAACACGTTTTATTTCACGTTTACTGTGCGTCCGGAGGCGAAAGCGAATGATGACAAATTTAGGATCCGGAAAGTGGTGCCAGCCACAGAAGAGGAAGCGCGGAGGATCCTTGAGCGCATGGATGCTGAGTCATTGCTGTTGAAGTGATCTCTCAAGTATTTGAGAATTCTGAAATAAACTGAAAACTAATTTAAGTTGATTAGAGAAAGAGAAAGAGAGACTCATGAGTTTGAGCTAAAACTTGCTTATGATGCTTGTTGCAACAGCGTAAGAGGAAATAAAGTTATAAAGTATCGACTAACTTCAAATTTAAAAATATTCAACAACACTGTAGTGTTGTGGGCAGACAAAAAACAAGATGTATGAATGTTAAATGAATAAATCTTGAAAACTTAGCTAAAGTTAAAGAACAAATTGAACGAAAAATGAATGTTTTTTTAGTTGGATTTTGTTTCGACTGAATTGCCCTAGAGTTGTTGTACATGAATATACCGTAAATTAGTTTATCAGATGTTAAGAGTATTATCATAAATTCATAATAATATATTGGGAATATGACTTATTAAGGTAATTAACTTTTTGGTATGTTCACATCTGGGTAACTATCTTTTTTTGTACACATCTAGGTAACAAACTTGTTGGAAGTGTTCACATATGACCATTATGACCTGATATAGCAGGTTAAATACTAGATGTGAACGCTTTCAACAAGTTCGTTACCTAAAAATGAACAAAACGAAAAGTAAAAATTAAATTACACGAATGGTCCCTGTGGTTTGGGAGAATTTGTGTTTTTGGTCCCTAACTTATTTTTTTAACTTGGATGGTCCCTACTGTTTATTTTTGTTGCGCGTTTGGTCACTGTCTTACCTAAAAAGACTATTGTGCCCTTATTAATTTATTTTTTAATTAATTTTTCTTATTTATGTATTCATTTTTTACATATTTAAAAAAATTAATAGATCCCACATATTTGTATCTCCTCGGATGATCCCTACTGTTTATTTTTTAATTAATTTATTTTTTAACTCGGATGGTCCCTACTGTTTAATTTTGTTACGAGCTTGTTCTCTGTCTAAACACTAGGGACCGTCCGAGTGAAAAAAATAAATTAATTAAAAAATAAACAGTAGGGATCATCGAGGAGAGATACAAATATGTGGGGTTTATTAATTTTTTTAAATATGTAAAAAATAAATACATAAATAAGAAAATTAATTAAAAAATAAATTAATAAGGGCACAATAGTCTTTTTAGGAAAGACAGGGACCAAACGCGCACAAAAATAACAATAGGGACCATCCAAGTTAAAAAAATAAGCTAGGGACCAAAAACACAAATTCTCCCAAACCACAGGGACCATTCGTGTAATTTAATTTTACTTTTCGTTTTGTTCATATTTGGGTAACTATTTTTTTTACACATCTAGGTAACGAACTTGTTGAAAGCGTTCACATCTAGGATTTAACCTGCTATAGCAGGTCATAATGGTCACATGTGAACACTTCCAACAAGTTTGTTACCTAGATGTGTACAAAAAAAAGATAGTTACCCAGATGTGAACATACCGAAAAGTTAATTACCTTAATATGTCATATTCTCTAATATATTATTAGGATCATATTGAATCCCATATTTTTTTTATTAAAGAGTAATTGCAAATGTGGTTTATGTTTTTTTATACAAAATGGCAGGTTTAACCCAACTTTTTTTGTTTTTTCGTGTGTTGTGAGTGTCGTCCTCACTCGTCACGACTTATGTAAAATGATTATCCGATATTTTTTTCACATGGGTAACAGACCATATTTATCGTCCGCCACAAAAAAGAAACATGTTGGGACAATAATATACAGATTTTATCTAAAGCACATGAAAACATATTTGTAATTTGCTATTTATAATATTTGGAAAATGACAAACATCATCTCTAATAAATAAAGAACTTTTTGCCACCTGCGATCCTCTCATGCCTTTTGCCAAATGTAATTTTAGAAAAAAAAAAATTCCACATGACACAACTCCTCATTACACGTGTCCTCATTACACCTGCCATCTCGATCTCTTCTCCTAAATCTAAGCCCATCCATACATCTACCCATATTCAGGGTTCTTATTCGATTCCTGATGTATTAATTAAAAGTTGAAACTGGAATGGAGGAGACTGAACTCTCCACTGTGATTATGATATTTTTCTTCGCCCATCTCCTCTTTTCTTTTTGTTTGGATCCGCTAAGGCACCAACGAGGCGTGTGTAAGGTTTAATCTTGCTGAATCTAGACCTTATTCTTTGGTTCTTCTGTATTCAACAAAATAATATCATAATATTCTACGACTAACATGTGTTTTTATCTATTTGATTGTTTTTTATAGCCTGTATATATGCAAACATGTAGTTATTTTGATTTCTTTAGATGATTATTATGTAATACACCTGATAATTCCAATATATATTAGTAAAACATTAATGATTGGTATTTTGTGCTTGTAAAAGATTTGTGTTTTCTTTCTTAATGATTAGTAGTAGCTAGCATGCGAGCTTTAATGAAGGTGGATTTTGCTGTTATTACCTTTTCAGTATAATTAATTTTGACCCTCGCCAACATTACCTATGTGATGACTGAAACATTGTTCTATCTAGATTTTAAGTAGTTTTTACCACATATGGAATTTGATCTACTTAATTCCTTGGTTTTTTTAATGCACTTGTCCACTTCTTGAAGGTTGTAATGTGAGATACATAATTGCAGAAAACATTTCAAATTCTAAGCAATAAGGAGGTCAGTGCTGTAAACCAAGGTCATTTGTTTGTGTATATGAGAGGTGACATGGCAATGTACTTTCATTTTTTTGCATATAAATTTGGTTTGTTGAAATGCTTACAAATTGTTTGTTGAAATTTCTTTAATTTTGTTATTTGGCCATAACATAAGTTGATGATAATTGTGATAAGTAATATATAATTAACATAATTACTCTTGGGTTTTAGTTTTTTTTAAATTTTTTTTATAATTATTAATAAATAATTGAATGAGTATGCATATGATGCATGACTTTTTTTTTGTGCTTTGGCAATTTTGAACAGGAGTGAAATGGACATTGATTTGAGATTCTTACTTTATCACCAAATAAGTATATGATGTATTTATTGAAATAAGTGCTAAACCCCGAGGCTACAAGCTTTAATTAGGAAATTTTATTACAAACTTTTTCGGGAGTTAAAAATGAAATTTTATCTTTTATTACAGGTCTACAAGTATGAGTCACTCCTCCATGATCAGTTGGCTGTTCTTGTTAGATCAATGTTCCATATGTATGTGTGAAAGGTTTGAAACAATTATTAGAAGGAACCTTACTGTAGATATAATATGGGCAATATACTTTATATTTTACCTAATAACAACAACATATTAATTAAATAACGATGATAGCATTACGAACAAATATCCAATTTATATAAAAAATATGTTGCTATTTCTTAACAACTGTATTTGCAATCCCATACACTATCAGACCTTCAGTAGCCCCTTTTGGATCATTTTTGTTTAATTTTTTATATAAGACAGTAGAGATGTAGATAATAGTTAATATTAACAGAATGTGGAATTCAAATAGTGTCATTTGTATTATACATATTTTAACTTTGGTTTGTAAACTTTGACGTATTATTAATTATTTTACATATGTCTTCGCAATACGATTTCGGGATTCGACTGTAGCGGTTTCACTAATAAGGACACCGCCCCCCCTAAATCCCAAAAAGCATTGGCGTGTGCCCTTTTTAGCAAAATCGTCAAAGATATGGAAGTCGACTTCGACATGACTGTTAGACAGAAATAAGTTTTTTGAGTGTCTTCGGGCACCACATGCTTAGGATTTTCTGCTAACTATCCCCATTGATGGCCTTGGCCAGCATATGTCTCCTGTGGAGTACCGAACTATCCTTCGCTACCGCCTCATGATTCCTCTATTCCCAATTGACGAGATATGCCCAGTTTGCCGCAAGGCATGTTTGGATACATTTGGGGAACATACGGTTCATTGTAGAGAGCTCCTTGGTTTCAAGTACAGACATGATGTGGTTAGGGATGTTCTCTTTGATGCTTGTCGGCGTGCTGGTATTTCTGCGAAGAAAGAAGCGTCGGTGAACTTCTTGACGGACCCGCAGGATGGAAGATCCACACTTAGACCGGCTGACATGCACTCTAACGTCATATCTCCTAGATCCACAGATGTTGTTTTCAAAAGGATTAGTTTTGTCATCTAAAAAGGGCTAGCGGCGCAGCTTGTTGCCCGTTTGCCTTCCATCGATATGTATTGAACTATATTATGCTAATTGAATCTAAAAATAAATTATGATATATTATTGTTTAAAACATGTGCGTTAGTAATGTATGGGCACATTGCTATTTGCTAATCTTATATTTGAATAATAAATTATGTATTTTGAAATAAGGAGGTTAGAATTTTCCTTTGAAGTGAAAATAATGTGACTAAGCTTAGAATTCCCCAAAAGAATTCCAAATTGATAAAGATCAATGTCTATAACAGGGAACGAGATGGAGTGCTGAATGGTGGTCGTCATTTTCACACAGACTTTGCTCCATACCATTCAATCATCGAATCCTACCCATCGACTATATATGAATTATAGGATCCATGTCTCTTCATTATTTCATATCACTCTTTGTTATTTTGTGTCGACAAACTATCCATGGAGATCATGTGCTTTTTTTTTGTATTTTCTTTGAAGATCATGAAAAAAGTTGGTTTGTTACTTAGAACCAGACAAGGAACCGCCTATGTTTATACTTTTTTACATTTTTAAGATTTACAAAAAAAATTCTTGAATTTTTACTAAAAATTCTACTATTATAATAATTTATATTCAACTACATGGTGTGAGGTAAATGACCATTTTACCCTCTAATTGGTAATAATGATAAACACATTTTTTTTTATCTATTATGTTGTGGACTGAGATATTGGGTGTTTATAATCAAACATTGATGCTTTTCCAATTACGTTTCCTGATAATGTGATTTTGATTTTTTTTTCACATCCTACAATGCATTGTTTGATCGGATCAGGAGCATATGAATCTTAAGATATATATGGCTTTGTGATGTTTTTGACGAAATTAACTTAGAGGGAATTTGTAATCTGATGGAACTGTAAGTCTCATTTTAGTATAAAAGATTAATGTTTACACCTTGATATTAAACATTTTTTTTAATCAACTCGTGTAGTACACGGGTCTCACACCTACTTCATTAATATAAAATGAATCGAATTATTTGTTTCCTAGCCAATCTATCAAATCTGTAGATGATAAAAAGTAACTTTTCTAAAACTTATAAA